TTAAACAGGTATACAGAATGAACTGGCAGCTTGGAAAATGTGACTTATGCTGATTAAACCGCATGGTACGACTCTTGTCCTCACAGACATTTAGAAAACCAAACAAGTGTGATGTTGATACTCTTGTTTTGGGAAATTTTGATGAATACTATGATGATAATCCTAAAATTGTAAAAAATGTAAGGAAAAGATCTCGCTGTAAAAAAATACGTAGTGTCCGGTCTAATAAAGAAGCTCAACCCGAAAAACATTATCGTGAGTTAATTATGCTCTTTACTCCTTGGCGAAATGAACGAACCAATTTAGTAGGAAGTTGTTGATATTCTGAAGAGCAGGAGAATATTTTTATCGTGTTCATATACTACTAAATGCCCATACAGGAAAAGCAGTACATATTACAAAAGGTAACACGATTTACAGTGCCTTGTGTATACCAGCCAGTCAGTCACTAAAGAACTATAAACCGTTACATTCTGTCAAATTAAACACGATGAGATGCGAACTGGGTTCAAAGTTCATATTACTTGATGAAGTATCAATGGTTGGCCATAATAAGTTCGCGATTCGAATAACCGTTTAAAAACGTTTAAAAGGAATCAAAGAAGATTTTGGCGGTGTAAGTATAAATACATTAGGTTATTTATTTCAAATGAAGCCTGTAATGGATAGTTATATATTCAAAGATGTTCAGTGTTTAAGTTCTTACGATATTGTTGCTCCAAACTTATGGAGAAAGTATCTCAGAATTTTTGAGCTTGATAAAATCATGCGACAGAAGAAAGCAAGAATTTAGCACAGACTCTCAATTCACTTCGTGAAGGTAATCACACTCGCAATGACCATGAAAAATTCAAAGAAAGATGCGTTGAAGAGACTACATGTCCTACAAAACCCCACATTTGTTCATCCAAAATGCATAAGTGGATGAATGTAATGATAAAGTTTATCAATCAATCAATCGTGCTAATAAATCTAATATTAAGGAACAAGATAGCGTCATTGGAGCTTGTTCAGCTGAACTCAAAGAGAAGATAATGAGACAAATACCTCACGTTTCTCTGAAAATTTTGTCTTATTTTGTTGTTATTATGTACGTACATGCAGAACCATAGCCTCGTCATTGAAGCGTTAACAAAGCAGCTTGGAGCTATTTTATACCTGACAAAGACAATAATATCTTCTTATCACCAATAAACGTTGTGAACAAGTTGTATAATGTTGCTGGATGTATAAAATTGTAGTATTAATGGAAAGTAGGGATGTTGATCGAGATATTATTAATGGTAATGCCAGCAACATTTGCATTTTGCTGGATCTATATTCTTGTGGTATTATCTCCAAATAATAACTACTTAAGTGAAGTTTTGTGGGACATAATAACAAAAAATTTAAAATTTGTGAAAACTTTATATTCTTTTAAACCAATCTATGCCGCCATCCTACTTCTTTCTTTTTTTTAACATTATTCAGTTTAACGTGTTCTGTGGGTAATGTTTTAGTGTAAATTATTAATTTTGTATTATTCTCACTCTTGTAAACCGTGTTTATATTTAAATACTTTCATTAAAGATGTATTAAAAATATGATATGGAAGATAAGATCAGAGACGTAACTAGAACGTTAATTAGACGGTGAGGGTACATATTTATATTATCCGTTGTGCCATACTGATTTCTTTTCAAAGTTAATTGAATTTCAAAAAAAATCAGAAGCGCACAACGTAAAATATGAAATAACACACCCCCAATCGTTTAAATTTTTGTCTTATTGTGATTGGTTTGACAGATTTCGACTGATTGCCAACTGAACTAACACAGTCAAGCTCACTGTCTGCATTGAATGTTTGAACATTTTATAGCAATTTTCTAATGCATGATAGAAACTACCATCAGCCGGAATTTAGGGAAATCTTTTACAAATTCATTTATTCACGTGAATGCTGCTGTCTAGGCTGTAAATTATTTCAAGAGGGTGAAAAATTTATAGATGAATTGTAAATGCTTGGCAAAGATGATCTCGCGAGTGACATTTCAGTCATTGATGTTCAAAAGCAAGCCATCATTGTTTAGAGTTTTCTCAACAGAAATTTACGTCTAAAACCGTAAGTTATGGACAACTGAAGTGTCTGCATGAATGTAAAATATCAAAGTCAATTTATGCGAGTATGTGATGAGATTTATGTCAATGTGGCGTATGGTATGCAGATTGATGCTTCTAAAATTGTTGTTCCTGAGGACTTTCAGCTTTGATTTTTTAGTGCTTGGGAAATCTTGGCCGTTATATGGCAGCGAAATTCCACATTCCTTCAAATGTATTTCAATGGACCAAAATTCTGTAGCAATAATTTGCTATTATTTACCTTATTATAAACAAATGTTTGGGGCTTTTCAGTTTATGATCATATTATAGTACACATTGTTTAAGATTTGAGACAACTAATATTGATTAAATGAGAAGCTGTTTACTATAAACTGTGATTATGAGTATTTATGATCCATGAAGCTTTTTATTTTGACAATTTGACTGCAATGGCATTAAACCTGAGAATTTTACATACATTAAATTTTGAGGCATGTCACATATTGTCCCCTTTTCTAACTGAACATCTCATGTAGAGATATCAAGGTGTGTTGATCTACAGCTCATACCAGATTGTTTGCCAGAAATTCTTAAGGGGTACTGATGCATGAAAAGAATTTTCTATAAAGTAAAAATATCTTTCTACGTATGCAGATAAACCTTGAAATTTGGAAAAACAGCAAAGTATTATTCATGATCACTAGGTAATTTTTCTGATAATCGTTATAATTTCTAAACTAAATTATTTCAGATTTACATTTAAACAAGTTTTCATTATATGAAAAGATACTTATTATGACCAGTAAGAATGACACATAAACCAATTTTAACATTCATGTAATTATATGATTAAAGGCATATTGGTCACATTTTGTTTATATTGGCAAATACAATGCTACTGGTTATTAAAATATAGCACACTTTGCATAAACTTACAGAAGATAATAGTCTATTGAAATGCCTAATAAGCATTAATGGCATTGAGCTTTCCTTAAATTGCAAAATTTCACTCTGATAATCTTTGTTCTACCTTTAGCAGAAAAAAATTTTGAGTTTTTTCTCAAAAGGTGAATTCCCTGACACTGTATGTGGAGATTGGTAAAGGGTGACAATAAACTTGTATAGTTTGATGTTTGAGCTTTTCTACATCTATGAACTGTCACTTGTAGTACCTTATTTCGAACTTAACTCATTAGATATAGGTGTGAATGGGGGTCTCTAGGGGGGTCTATGCCTGATAATTTGGTAGAAACTTTTAAAGACAATATCTTTTTTGGAATAGCATTAATTTAAAGTAAATTTTATTTTCCTAGGCATGCTGACGAGCCTTATATTTGGCATAACAATAAGGCTAAATTTTTGGCAAAACATTCATGTATTATTCACTGCAAAAAAACGTAAGCTAAATGCGTTTTTTTACACTAAAACGATGCCCACAAAAAAACATTTTGTATTGCTCTAAAACGCTTAAAATGGCATTTCCAAGGCTTTAAAGTTCAAAATTTCCCAGGAGAGAATGCCTCCAGCCTCCTATGACTGATGTTTGGAAATTCCTAGATCCGCCCCTGTCTCATACTGGCAAGAATGATCATATTTTATCATCAAAATTGCCAAAGAAATCTTTAGCGACTTTACTTGTAAATATAACCTATACGTGTCAAAGTATTAAAGTGCACATGACATGTTTTCAAAAACACAATATTATGATAGTTTAGACTATTTTTAGAACATTTGAAATATATTTTATAATTGAAAAGTTTCATCTTCATGGACTTTGGATGCCTTAAAGTTGGTTATTTTTTGATTGTTCGTGATGTCAAAAGGCCTAGGGCGAGAAAAACAAATAACGCCGGATCTGACGTCAAATCGGGAACACGCTTTTGAGTGCTTTTCTCGAACAAACACAAGACATAATACTATACTAAAGACACAGCTATAAATTCGCAATTTTATTACACTCTGAGTAGAACCATAAGTTTTTAAATTTTATATTGCGCGCCTGAAAATATAAAGATGTCTTCGAGCTCTTCGCTTTCAATTGAGAGTAAATGATTCAGATAATGATTCGATTTCAAAGTACATGATGGGAGCCGAAGAAAGTTTGGTTATCGTCGATCACCTAAGTGACTCTATTGATGCGTCTGAACATTTCATTGAATCACAAATGTTGCCATATCAAGATGAACCTGTTGCTGATGAAGAATGGGTTCAAAATTATCATGACGGATTACGTGAACGTCAATTTTTTTTGGAAACGCTGCTTGATAGATTCAACAATCGTGTGCCTTTGGAGCAGTGGTGAGTAGATTTATTTGTTAAAATATTTACAAGTTAGGGCCATAATTCACTTCACGCGAAGTCAATGAGCGTTATCTCAGTTGCGCAGCGTTCTTTGTTCACATTATCAATTCAAACTACAAGTTGTATTCCAACATGAACAAATGCATGCTCTTTGTATTTGTAGGTGCATTTGTGATAATTGCAGGACTAATATGCTTCAAAATGAAAAAGAGAGTCAGTGTTGCCAAGAACTTGACGAATGCATAGAGTCCTTAAACAGTGAAATGGTGCTGGGTGAAATGAAAGTTGTTCCTAAATGTATTACACTTCATCCAGCATTCAATTCAGTGTGTCTGGATCTTTGGTCATTGCGAATGGCAGGCCCAAAATTCAGGAAAATAGATGGAAGAAAATTTGCGAAACATGATGATGAGAACAGGTACGTACATACCTATGTGCTTTCATCTTATGTTAAATTTAATTATTGTGAAACAAACATTTGTTTAATTTGTAAATATAGGTATTTAAAAAGTGTTGCCTATCGAGAGTTTACCCAGCTGGTGCATGGTTACTTAGGAAGGAAAAGGATACCACTGCCTCCTTGTGCCTATCATTCAATAAGGACTTGATTTCCTGGAAAAGATTTCCAAGGTTATGATGATGATGAACTTGAGGATGAATAAATTACTATTTGTATGCCAATATTCACCCTCATTTTGGATTCTTGTTCCGTGGACAGTCAAGGACATATTGATGGCCTTTCATTGCTTTCCCACATGCTCGACAGTGTGGACGAGTTCTTTCTTCACTGGTGATGTTATTTGACACTGTTGGTTGGACTAAAATGTTATATTTTTTGTGATTGACATGTAGACAATAAGTTTAAGTATTAAATAAAGAATGTCTTAGTCATACCATTGGTGGGTGGTACATTTGCAACTACCATTTTCTGGCGGTTGATCTTCTTTTTAATGGCCTTTGCTCTTGATTGTCTCTCAAACATTGTATGCATTGGTGCAGGAGACATATTTGACAACTCTTCAGATGCCTTTTCAAATTGCTTTTTGGTAGCCTTCATCATTGTGTGATAAAGTTCATCAATATAATCTACACACAGATGTTCAATTTTAGGAACAGAAATTGTGTTTTGAACATCTATGAGTGTCTGTTGTAACTGTGCTTGTGTACACAAGTTGTCATTGAAATCATATCTCACCAAAAATTTGATGAACTCTCACACTTCTTACTGTAGCTTCACCATTTTTAAATTTAGGGTACACCACTTTAACTTGTTTCTTAACTTTCACAATCACCTCATCTCTCCTCAAGTTATTGTTAAAATGCAAAACAGCCAAAATGTGTCTAGATAGGTAAAAATCAAAGTATAAATTATTTATTTTTTCATTTGGTCTTAATTTACTTGCGTACCTGCAATACATCCCTGCAAACGAGTATGAAATCATTTTTGGAGAAAAATGTTTTAACACTGAGTGGAAACCTTCCAGGCAGCTGGTCTGTGAAAGTGGTGACGCTTGGGAGATACCCCTTTTCAGATTGCTATTCAAAAGAGCAGCTTGTGTTTTCTCATACACAACTGACTCTAGAAAATTTAAATAAATGTATCTTGCATCATCACGTCTAAAGCATTTTAAGCACAAATTATGTTCACTACACAAATGTCTTACCTTTATTAAGCCACATCCTTTCCTCAATGTCATCACCATGAGCACAGGCATTGAAAATGGGATTGGGAAGATTTGAATGAACATTGGCCATGTGTTCCAAGAATGATGAAAACTTAGCCCATATGACCTGTCCATCACCATCTTCAGTTGACATTGCACTCCAATACAAATGATTCACACATGGCTTCACCCAAGGAAGAAGCTCCTGACAACCTCTTTCGCAATTTTTTAAGAATTTTATTGACTTCTGATTTACAAATAAGAAAAAGAATGTAAACGCTTTTAAAGCTAAGCCAATCACATAGAACACTAAACACAGTTATTACTTACTTTTTACCAAGTGCCACAAGTCAAAGTAGTGGGTAATTTTAGGAAGCTTCTCCTTCATGTGTTTTGAAATAGATGTGTGACGATCCGAAATAAAAGTTGTCGCATTCAAGCCATCTTTTAAAAGCCTCTCCAGTGCCTTTGTGAAAGCTAGATACTCCATTGCTGGGCTGTTACCAGCTTCATTTCTCTAAGAGTGGTAAAAGAATCCAACAATGTATAAAAAAATTATCATTGCTTTGGAAAAGGTAATCTCAAATTATTTTTACGTACCTGCACTAAACAAAAATCTACAGTTTTATTTATGTCACCATTACAACAGAATATGCTGTATGCACAGTATTTGGCACAATGGCCCATACTGTCATGGCGGCCATCACCAGCAAGAACTATGTCTTGGATTTTCCTTAAATTTGTGTTCAAAGAGTCTTTGTACTTTTTCCAATATAAATGAATGCTTGGAAACAGCTTGGTCTGAAAAAAATATGGAAACTTATCACAAAATTAATCCTAACGAAAACCTTTTATTAACAACCAACAACTGCAAAAACTGCAAACATACATTTTGATGTCGGAAAAAAGATCGCAATGACATGCACCGCAATCCCATGTGCTGGAATATTTTTAAAGTTTTGCTGGCAGATCCACCTCCACTCTAAATTCCAAACGAAAGAAGTAGGTTTCCTGCAGGAAGTGTTGACATAGCAATCCTAATGTTGGGTTGGCTACCCCAAATGTTACTGCGTTGTTTGCATTGGACATTGTTGCAAGTTGTCTCTACTTGAATCATGGTTCCAAATTCTTTCATTTCCACAAGGACATCAGGCACTTTACAGGATGGGCAAACATCAAACAGTTTCATTAGTTGTGAAAGAAAAACAATGTACTTTGGTTCTTTGGTTGCTTCCTTAAATCTCCATCATTTGCTGCATAAACACTGCAACAGAAACAATCCTAATCATACATCAATGATGATTTCTATATAGCATGTGGTAACATAGAAAGTTTATAAGTACCATTTTCCATCAGAATCATCGGTATCACTGTCTTCTTCACTTGATGTTTGATTTGCTGAAAGTTCATCCTCAGTTTCCCCATCTGTATATGAATCTTGAGATTGTTGCTCCTCAAAGTCACTATCCACATGCTCTGCACTATCTTCATCAATTACATCAGAATAATGAGCAGCATCAAAGATGTTACTTTTCTCAACATCTGAAAAAAACTAAGTACATTTACTAAATTACTGAGTCGTTTGAGTTTATATATAGCTCATTAGCTAATATTCACAGATACTGCTTTGATCAATATTCCATAACTGATACAATTTATTAGATTTGTCATCTAATATTCATAACATACAATAGCATACCATATCTCATTCGAGCTTTGTAAAACAGCAACTTTCTTTTCATTTGGAGCATCTTGTTGATCAGTTTGACACAATTCTGACATTTCAATGGCAATGTCTGGACCCATTTATCATTTACATTTTCCCAGTTCTGCAAATAAACAATATTTTTTTTATTTTAAACTACAGGGTGTATAATAATATTGTTAGAAAGTACTTTTTGGTTGAATATTACTTATTTCTTAAAATATGCCCTAGAAACGATTGTGGATAAGGGAAAAGTTTATTTACTTTATAAAGTTTTTTTGTTTTGCTAATAAACAAGCATAAAAGACATATCAAGAAGTCTGGGAATAAGCTCATTAACATCAAAAGAAATGCATAGAAAAACATTTTTTGGACTTGTGGCAAACTACTTTAACTAAACAGCAATGATAATATAGGTCAATCAGTGTGACTAATTATTAATTCAGGGTAAGTTGTTTAGCAAATAAATATTGCCATGGGGCAAGACCTGTCATTGAAAGACCCTAAATCGAGTTATTTCAATTTTATTCAAAGTGAGGTAACCAAACGTACGCTTACTGATTTGTAAGGGTCTTTGAGTAGTTCATGAAAACTGTTATCTGTTTCATCAGGAAAAGTCACAGTGTCTGTTTGCATATATTCATCTGCTTCTTCTGTAGATACATTAGTTAGAGAAGAAGAACAAGGCTGAGAACATTCAATATTTTCATATATGCTTCCTTTTTGACTCACGCTGCACTCTTCGTGATCTGCATGTTGAGCGTGAAATAGCTGGAATCAATAGTTTTTACAAAAATACTTAGTGACACATACGAAAAGGAGAACCATTCATGGCTATTTTTTAAAAAATATATAATACTCACAATGCGACGACGATCTCGTTCTGACAGCACTGTTTCTTCTGTTTTAAACTTGGAAGGCCAGACACATATGCCAATGCTATCCCTTTTTAACGTGGGTGCTACAAGCAGCGGTTTCTCAGAATTACATACTCCCATCTCACCAGTATAGCGACACACAAAGTCATCCTCTTTAAAATGCTTTGAGAAAACTTCGGAAGACGAAGAAGGTTCCCAATTTTTTCGTTTCCTTTTCACAAAATCAACCCAAGCTTTTCTACGTTTGTTAGCTTCCGGTCTTATGTTATTCGCATATGCGATTCTATTCGCATATTGACATGTTTGAACATCCAAACACGACGCATCTGTGTGGCATTTTCACGAAAAAATTCTTTCGCAAACGTATTAAAAAAATATATCTTTTTGTGGTGCTTTAAGACAAACGTTACCGAATAGCACAAGTGTGTTCCCGATGTGACGTCACACATGCAATTAGTTATATTGTTGTTACCAGTCTTTTTATATTCACGGTCAATAGGAAGAAATATTAAAAATCCGCAAATTCAAGGTGCTTAAAGTCCATGAAGATGAAATTTTTCAATTATAAAATATATTGAAAACCTTCTTAAAATCATCTAAACTATTATAATATCATATTTTTGAAAACATGTCATGGGCACTTTAAGTCATTGAGACTCGACGCATTAAACCGATAAATAAAACGTATACGAATAATCAGCACGATTGCTCTATTTCATTAAATAATAATAACAATCAACCAATTATTTAAAAGTCAACTTTCGTATTTATTAAATCATGTCAAATAACATATCTAACTCACATAAGAGATGCATCTCAGGTAGCACGCCAAGAATACTAGGTAAATTTTGAAACGCAAGTAAATTTTCACGCAGTTTTGATGGGTAGAAATATTGGACTACGACAGGAATCATTATAGGTGTAAATAGGACCTTATTCCGTCAAATAAATAATGGAAAGATTACCTTCTAAGCTTTATAATTCCAGAAGTTTCGCATCCTCTCTCAACGCCCAGATTTCACAATTCAAATAACACAAAAAATTCTTTGTAATGAGCACACAAACAAATCTCTTTTCAAACTTCATTAATATTCTTTCTCGCGAGTCACATGGGAAGCGATTTAAAGTGTTTTATTATTAATGGCCGTCGTCTGTGTGTATCGAACTGTTGCGGGTAAAAAGTCGCAAGTAAAGTCGCGGGTTAAAAAAACACTTTTTTGCACGGAAAAGTTTGAAAGAAGTCTATGTTAAATTCCCAGCGTTCAATCAACGTTCTCAACGTTCCCAGCGTTGAATCAACTCTGCTTTCAACATTAAAATATGTCACTGGTGCTTTGGATATTTAAGAATTGTGTTTGCTATACCTATCCAAATATTACGGTGGCCTATAAGTGCCACGGCAACATTTGGATACAAAAATCTCACGGCAACATTTAAATACAAAAATCTCACGGAAACATTTGAAAATTCACGGCAACATTTAAAAACTCACGGCAACATTTGAATACGAAAATCTTACGGTAACATTTGAAATTCTTACGGCGGAAGCAAAGTGAAGGAAGTTAAATCATTGACTTATAGTCTAAAAAATATAAAATGGCGGAAAACATTGAAGAATACGATGTCGATAATGACCATGAAAATCTTGAACAAAGCAGTGAGGAAAAGATCATACCTTATTATTTCCTAAAAGGATTTCAATACAAAGAAATTCTTAACTTCATAAGAAAATATCACGGTAAGCACATTGTAAGCATGAGTACATTAAAGCGAAGAATATAATATTTTGGTCTTCGACGAAAAAACAGCCATTATGATATGGACGTTGTACGTGATGCAATTCTTGCTTAAATAGACGGTCTAGGAGGTTGCCGAGGTTATCGTTTAATATGACATGCCCTTCTAATGAAGGGAATAACTGTACCTAGAGACGTTGTGGCAGGATTTTTAAGAAAGCTTGATCCAGAAGGATTGCAAGAAAGATCTAGACGCAGATTAAATAGAAGGATTTACTGGAATCCTGGACCAAATTTTTCCTGGCATTGTGACGGATATGATAAGTTAAAACCATATGGCTTTCCAATCCATGGATGTATAAACGGATGGAGCCGTAAAGTCCTTTGGTTATATGTTACTAAGTCAAATAATCTACCAAGTAATATTGGAACGTATTATTTGGACGCTGTGGAACAATTTAATGGCTGTCCTGCAGATTTTATTGCAGACCTTGGTACGGAAAATGGCCTTGCCGCTGCCATTCACTCATTTTTTCGTAATGACCCAAGCCGTCGTAAGTATGTGTCTTCACCCAGAAACCAAAGGATAGAGGGGTGGTCTTCAATCCTGAGAAAAGATCATGCAAATTGGTGTATCAATTTTTTTAAATATCTGGCTGAAGAAGTAACTGAAGACCTCACCATTCCTCTTCATGTGGAATGCCTTCGGTTTTCTTATGCAGATTTGCTCCAAAAAAATTTAAATGAAGTAAAAGAGCTTTGGTATTCACATTACATCCGAAAATCAAGGTATGACACTCTACAAGGAAGGCCAGATTCTCTGTACTAATTTCCCGAACTTCAGAATGGTGAATGTAATTTGCTTTTGCCTGTTCTTTATTCTGAAAGACTATATGCTAGAGAGCATATCATATGTGAACATGATGCACCAAACAACTATCAGAGATATTTTTTGTATGTGATGGAAAATTGCTCATTACAGAAACCCCATCACTGGAGGCAAGCTCTAGGATTGTTTGTTACACTAATACGGCATGCAAACATTGTGGACTGAGAATAGCGTAGATTTTTATTGATAACATAACAAATTCTGACTGATTTACTAAGCTTCTTGTTGTTAAAATGAAAACAAAACTTTAACATAAGTGACAAGATTTGTTTCATTAGAGGGCTCTAATTTTAAGTTCTCCAGCTTATTAAAAGTTCACGTAAAATAGTTCATTAAAAAATTTGACAAAATGTGAACATATTTCTTTCTCAATTTTAAAATGTCAATCTTCTTGTAATTCATGCTTTAGCAAATGATTGACCTTTACAATATGCCATGACAAAAATTTCTTTAAACTTCCCTGACTCGTATATATGTACAACTGGTATGGTTAGCTCTCTCTTACAAGCTCCAACTAACGGAAAACACGTCGTGTGGTTTGGATTTCTTACCACGCAATCATGGTCAAAATTTAGAGTAATCGAAGGTTTCTCTTTAGGTAGAATATGCTTATGTCTTTGGGCTGTGAGCCATCCCATAACACCTTTTACAGACATTTCTGGCATTTCAAATAATTCATCTGTGTTTATGTTAACATTCTCTTCTTTATCATATTTCCAAGCAACTGCTGTTGAATACCCTGGTACTAATGTTTTGTCTAGTGACATAAAAAAATCTTGAAGGTTGTCCAGTATAGTGTGTTCTAAAGCTCGCCTTGAAGTTACTTCCTCTGAAAACACAGGTTCAACCAAAGAAAAAAGATAATCTGCATCAGGAACCATATAAGCACAAAATTTTTTCACAAAAAGAGAACGGCAAGCACCTGGATTTTTCATAATCATATGTCTAAGTCCATAAACATCCAGACCTTTTTTAAAGTCATTCATGTATACAGGGGCGTAACTGTTGGGGGGTGTGGGGTGTGTGACACCCCCCAATTGCTGAAAGCTGTGTTTTTTGCAGGGAATATTGCAGTCAAGTGGCAGGGCAGTGTTCAGGAAGTAGAAAAATTGCCATACCATCGAAAACAACTAAATGATTACTAAGTGGAAATAACAAACCTTCATTTTTGACAATTTTGGCTTAATTCTACAGTGCAACGTGTCTGTGAGATGTGTAAGATGAAGTAAGTATAAATGCAGATACAGATTCCGCTGGATATTGTTAAGATATGCTCTCATATTCTTCCTGTAATTGGTAAATAATTAATTATTGATTATTTTAAGAGATATTTATGTGCAATAATCACAATATTTTTTATAGTTCCTAATAGCTTTCCGTTGATTGTAAATTAACCATATTTAGTAAAGAAACAAATACATCCACACGTAATATCTTGTATAAATAGAAGTAGTATAACCATTGTACGATAGATCGTAGACCATAGAAATTGACGTTGAACATTAAATGTGATCATAACAGTTATCTGTAATATCTCTATTTGTTGGTATAAGTCAATATATACTAAAGAAGGTAGATGGCTACATCACAAAATCTAACAGATACAACGATTGCAAATGTAAAAACATGCTAATGCTAATTTTTGCATTGTCGAAAGCCGTGAAGCGAGCTTCTATCCAATAATTTCATCAAATTCTATGCGGTTTTGTACATTTGGGCGGGAAAGACTACTTTTCAATGGAAGGTCAGTTATATTTACCGAAGTTTGTAGACCCACTATTACCGAAGGAGAGTTGTGAGTTTATGGTATGCTGTCATAATTTTGATGTTTACTCTGAACGTTTCTAATTTAATTGAAATTTCTCTTAAGAGGGAGGCGCAACTAGAATTAAAGATGATAACGTTCAGGAGCCCTGCGCAAAAAAAAACCTTAACGTACACGAATTTATAGACGAAAGGTTAAATGTAAAGATTGTGGTGGAGAAATGAATGCTGATAATTTTTTGAAGCACAGTTCAAATAAACACAATGGTATGGCAAAATCCCAAGATGTTGTAGAAGCATGACAAACAACGCTTCATTTTTCTAAGGTTAGTAAAATGTCACTTACTTATATATGTACATGGTAAATAAAATGAAAGTCTTTAGCATGCGTTATAGATCTCTTAGAAAATTGCTGGTTAGTTCTGTATAAGTGCCGTTCAATTTATGTGAAATAATTGATAATTCGTGTTGCACAAAACTTTGTTATTCTGCTCTGTTGCAGAAGCAACTATCTCTGTTATTATGAAGGACACTCATACCATAAAGTTTCAATGTATTCTTATTTATTTTAGATCCTTCCAACTGCCCCTGTTACATGTGAAAAAAAAAACGAACAAAACTACAGCATCAAGAGAGACTTCATCAAACAACTTCCACCACCGAACAAAACCGAAAAACCTGCCATGTTTGTTTTGAAAAAAGACTACTAATCCTAAAAGGACATAAAAAGAAAATTTTAAATAAACGCTCTGAACTTTTTAGTGCATGCCGTCGTTAATTTAACACCTCGCAACGAATTGTATATGCAGTGAATAATAAATAATCTGTCAGTTGCCTGAAGATCGCCCTACTGCGTGAAACTCCGAAAAAATTACAGCTATTGTCTATTTTATATATATATATATGTATATATAATTTAATAAATTACATTTCTTAAAATGTTGCTACCATTGAGTTCTATAATAACTGGAGCGGCTATCTCAAGCACGGCCTTAGATATCTGATGACGCCAAAAAAATGGCGGATTTCGTCCTTTGCCGCTGAGATTTACCGAAATTGATCGCTTTTCCGAAAATTTCACAATTTCCCACTCCCTCCTGAGGAAAGAGTGAGGAAAATGTATGTGTGTATTTGGGATTCGGCA